GTGAAATAGCACTGGTGAGCTGTCATCCTGTCTACTCAGCAGGAGCTGCTGCGCGTGTGTGCAGTGAGTGTGGTGAGCTCTGTGACTGGTGTTTGCTTAGGGCTGTAACGGGGTTTTCCTCTCCTGCTGAATCCAGATACTGTCTTGAGTCGTATCCAGCCTGTACTGAGTGTCGTCTGCATCAGCCTCTGCTCTCTAGAACGTGGGTTGCAGCTTACTGGCCTCCACCTCTATGCTGTGGATAGTTGGCATTCCTCTGATGTGGTCAGTTGCCCTGTGCCAGGGGCCTGCCAGACATTGCCCTTCTGTGCACTGTCCTCACTAGCACCTGCCCTATGGAGACTGGTGCCCTCTGCTGCAACCACAGGTTCATTGTATTGAGAAAAAATTAGGGATTCCCACCTCTCTCTTTTTTTTTCTCAACAAAATTTTATTTTTTGGCCAGGTGTGTAAGATATRAATGTGTTACACAGATGACTTCAGAGTCCACATTCAGTCCTCCCCAGCCAAGTACCTTGAGTCTTTTCCCAGGCAGAGAGGCTGTTACCTTCAAGTTCTGCCACAGACTTGAGCTGCAGTTTGAGATCTTTGCCCTGGGAGGTGTGACTGGAACAGGTTCTGCTCCAGTAGGCTCTTGCCAGTACAGAGCCTGCCGCTCAGCCTGGGCGCTGCCTCCTGAGTACCACAGCTTGGTACTTCTGGCTCCAGAAGTATAGGAGTATGTGGCCGAGCAGCCCTCCAGAGGAGCAGGTTCCATCTCTCAGCCAGCTGTGCTGCATCCCTGGCTCCCGTGGTCCCTTCCATGCCCCAGCCTAGAGTTGTTCTTCTGGTATTTAAGACTAGTTGTTTACTCCTGGTATCTTAGCATCAGTTACTTATTAGCTAGCCCATTGGTTTTACCTATGCTGAGAGGTTAGCACTGGCACAGACCTTTTTGGGCATCACAGACTCAAGCCTCCCTGTGGCAGGGGCAGGGAGAGAGGGAAGACCTTCTGTGGAGGTGGAGCATGAGGCATGCGACTGTATGTTGACTTTGGCTCCCAATAACTTAAGGAGTAGTCCTCCTGAGGTGTAGGTTGGGTATACCCTGAGGTTGTAGGTGTGGAGTCTGCATGTTTCTCTTAGCAGTCAGGCCACGGCAGTGGGGGGCTGCCTTCTTCCTTAGGTCACAGAGATGGTCTTGCCTGTGTGGGCTTGTTACCTGAACCAACTTTTTTTTTGTTTGTGTATGAGTGATACTGAGAACCTAGGGGGCACTCTTAACACTAAGCTATATCCCTAGCCTTATTTATTTATTTATTTTAAATTTTGAGACAGGGTCTCACTAAGTTGTTGAGGCTGGCCTACAACTTGTGGTCCTCCTGCCTCAGCTTCCTGAGTCTCTGGGGTCACATGTGTGCACCCATTTGACTGCCTTTCTTGTAGGATGTTGAATATGAGGCATGTGGGTGAATCTTGAATGAGAAATCATGGAGTGAGTTGTTCATTTGCTACCTGTGGGGTTCTGTAGCTTGTCTCCACCCCTGGATTTGCATCTCCTTTACCTGTGTGGCTCATTTGGGCAGTGTCTCTCTGGAAGGCCCACAGGGGTGAGCCTTTTTGTTATTTGTTTGCCTTTCTGGTCTTTGGTCACATGACACATTTGCTGGAATATATTTTTATTTATTTATTTATTATTATTTCTTTTTTCCTAAACAGTGTAGATTATCTCTCCTACCCCCACCTTGCCATGCGGTGAGGCTTTGTGGCACTGCCCAATTCCTTCTCAATAGGAGTTCTGCAGGAGCTTGCCCTAGGCTACCTTGGATGAAGGCCTGCACATGTGGGAAGGCTTGTCAGGGAGGAGCCCAGCACCCCTCATTCCTTGGTCCTCAGCTGTCTTTGCCACAAGCCACTGCCTTCCCTTGCTCTCCAGAGACCCTGTAGTGTGTTCGCCGGTGCTCGGGCAAGACTGGGGAGATGGGGCCTCTGGGGAGTGCATTTGTCTAGTTCCCAGTTTTACCTCTGTGGTGTGCATACTGCTGTTGAAGAAGAACAGAATAAGGTCTTCTCAGTTGTTAACTGTTGGGTGTTTTTTATTTTTATTATTTTTTTAAATAATGAGAAACTTTGACAGCACACATAGGTAGAGTACTGTACTCATCTGTTTATCACATAGATTCAGTGATTAGGATGAGTTTACCACATGTGCTGGATCTGCCCTTTGCTGCTTTCCCTTTTGTCTCTTTCTTTGCTGAATTGTTTTCAGGTGCATCTCAGACATCACGTCCTCTCACTCCTGGACACTTGAGGGTATACCTTCCAGACTGTAGACTTGGCTTACATAATGCAGTGGCTTCTCCCGTAGTTAGCCATGCCCTGTGACACCTGACACCATGTCTCTGGTCACATATCCTCTTCTTTCAGCTGCTGGTTTATGTACAGCAGATTCCCAAGAAGGGTCTCCTATTACATCTGAGAGTTTCCGCCTCTTTCATCTAGATTTCTCATCCTTCATACCTTGTTTCCCAAAATGGGGCAGCTGACCTGAAGGGTGGTTAACCTCTCGCTGGTGTTCTGCTGGCTTCCTGGCAGTGCTGTCCTCAGTTCCTCAAGAGGCCCCCTCAGGTTCTACACAGCCTATGGCAGTGAGCTGGCCCCACAGCAGCTCCACAGGAGATACCTGTTCTGTTTGCTCCATTTTTTTTTTTTTTTTTTTTTTTTGAGTCATGCTGAGATTGCTTTGTGGCTTCAGGTGATGACTGCCTGATTTGGCAGCTTGTTTTCACCTGTGCCCGTCCTGCCTGCATCAGGGGCTTACTGGGGTCCATATTCACTAGCTAGGTTGTTTGGTGGTTTGGGAGAAAGTTCATGGAGGAGCAGGTGCTGTATTCTTTCCCTCTCAATTGCCAGAGTTTGCTCTTGGTGCCTTTGTTGCTTCCATTTTGTCCAGCACCCGGTTCTCCCCTCCGCTCTCTGCCTCCTCTTTCTCCCTGCCTGTTCAGTTTTGCATATTTAATGTGTTTCTGTCTATTGCATTTCTTACTCCTTTTGATGTTCTGAGGCTTTCTGTCATGACAAGATGTTCCAAGGTTGTTTTGTAAGTGGTGCCTATAGTGGTGAACCAGCTATTCCGCCCAGGATCCCTTTGCCTCTTGGTGGGAAGAGGGAACGGGCTGTGGGTGTGCTCCTTGTTGCYTGTTCCAACTCCTTCCAGACCATTTTAGTGACAGCTTTAAAGAAAAAAAGAATTTAAACTTAGATTTACTACATTAACTTTTATGTTGCAGGATTCTTTTTTAACTTAGATTTTGTGTTTGTCTTATTTTTCTTTCTTCGAATATTGGTTCCTAACAACGATATTATAAATTACTTTTCATTATCCTGCTCTGCAAAAACACCAGTTAAGCTGCTGAATTAAGTTTTTTTCTTTGCAGCTTTATCAATAGAATATGCTCTTCTGGGGTAGCTGGTACACTGTTCAGACATCATTTGTAGATATGTCACCAACATGAGAGTTGAGGGTCAGTCTCTCTTTTTTTTAGTTTTAAGGAATTTTTCTATTTCCTTCTATTTCTTGAATATATAAACATCTCTGTTTTCTAACGTTAACAAAACTACAAAACAAGGTTTATTTAGATAAATCTCACTTCTCTTTCTTCCTCCCTGGTAGGTAGTCATTAAATAAAGGTTACCCTTTACCATTTTTTTATTTTTGTACATTTAGACAGATATGATACATTCATATTCCTTTTATTGCACAAAAGGAAACATGGTCTTCTGGGCCTTGCAATTTTCACATAGTGGTATTACCTTGGTTCACACACAATACACACTCGCACGCGTGCACACACACCATGTTTTTAATGACTAAGCAGCATTTCATTGGAAGGAAGTGCTGGAATTGATTCAGGTAGGCACCTGTGCATGGGCCTTGAGTTGCCAGCAGTTTTGCTGTGACAGGTACTGTCCAAGGAATCCTGCTCCTCCATCATTTCCTGTTTTTAGGAAATTCTGAGTATCTAGTTGAATATCACAGTCCTAACATATCTAGAAGCAGTCTGGTTTATTTTGCCATCTTAATTTTAAAGAAGTCTCTTCAGTTTCCTGTGTGCAGTACCTCATTGAAATTCATTTTAAGAAGGTCTATTGATTTCATTTAGTTTATCAAAATATCACTGTGTAAAATACGAGGGATTGAAAGATGTTGGCATTATTTTAACCCTCAGAAGATTTAAGGTTGAGGATTTGGGGATTGATTTTCTTCTTTGATCTCCTCTATGTTTTATTTTGTGTATTTTGTCCCCTTAGGTTATCAAAAGACTAAAAAAAGGCACTGGAAAGTGTATCTTTACTGCTCTCCCTGAGTGGAGCAGGTTGTATCGGGTGCAAGGGTGTTCTCAAGGACCCTGGATAAACTCAGCACATATTAATTGAATTTCTCCTTCTGCCAGAACATAATAGTGAACAACACACACAACTTTTCCCTTGTAGCACTTACATCCTTGTACAGAAGATGGATCTAAAACCAGGGAACAGAGAAGACTATTACTAGTTGTATGTGCTTTGAAAGTATCAAATGAGATTCAGAGTCAAGCCAGGAGTGGGGCAGCTGACACACAATGGGAGAGAGCAGTTCCAGCACTGGTGACAGGCACAAATTCCCTGGGGTAGGAAGAGCTTGGGGTATGTGAGAATCAGAAGAAATCAGTGTCAGAAAGCAGTGGCTGAGGTAGAAAAGAGCAAAGACCAGGTCCTGCAGAGCCTTGTTTTTAGGGTAAGGATTTGGATTTCATTTTGAATACATCAGGAAACCATCAAGGACAATTAAGCAGGGGGATGATGTTGGATATATATGTACTTTTTCTTTCCATAGATTAGGAGGCAGCTCACATATGAGGTATTGATCTCCAAAAGCAGCAGTATTAATCCTTCTGAAGTTTAGAGTGGAGGTTATATTTCTCCTTGTTCCTTTGTGCAGGGCAGATGTTCTTCTTCTGCTTTATTTTCTCTTTCCGTAGTATTTCCCTTGGTGCTATGCAGATAGTTACAGTGAGCAGTTGTAACGGATGATGAACTTGATTTAGAACGGAGCATGATATCTACAAATTCTCTTCTTCAGACCTGCAAATCCAAGAGACACATCCCTCTGGAAGAGAAGAGAACTGCGTCCTCAGGATTAAAAAAGGTCTGTGTTATTGCTATCACATTTATGTAAAGATAATTATGGAATCAATAACAGTTTTCTGGACAGAAGAGGCATTTTCAATGTATTTATTTATGTTTCTGTTGCAGAAGACTGGTGTGCTACCTGTGTAGGAATTCCCAGGAGCAAGACTCGCCACACCTGAGCTCACTGTAAAGGCTATGCAGCTGTGCAGGAGCAGAAGGATGTACTGACCGTCTCAAGGGAGGCTGTGGATGCTCATGACCATCAGTGCTCTCTCACCCTCCAAAACTGGGTGCACACTGTGCGGTCCTTTTCTAGACGTGAGAAGTACAAGATTACTCTATGAGAGGAAGGCTCCAGGGGCTTAAAGACACGTGCACCTTGGCCACCCCTTGGAATGTTGACGACTCAGGATCTAAAGGAAATTCTGTGTTAGAGTATGGAATTCATGTGGAAGTAAATGTCACTTTATAATCGGTAATAACACTGAGTAAGGAACACTATGCAGGAAGAAACCTTCCTTAGAAAGACAGGCAGGGAAAAGCTTAGGCCGACCTTAAACTTGCCCAGCAGCTTAAGCCTGAGATAGGCTGCCAGAATGGCCAAATAAGAGACTCTATGAAGTAGCAGTCCTGTAACTGTAGTAGTTGTAAGGAAATTTTCTCCTCTAAATCACGATACCAAATAGGAAAAATGATCTACAAGTGCCCCATGTGTAGGGAATTTTTCTCTGAGAGAGCAGATCTCTTTATGCATCAGAAAATCCACACGGCCGAGAAGCCCCACAAATGTGACAAGTGTGATAAGGGTTTCTTTCACATATCAGAACTTCACATTCATTGGCGAGACCACACGGGAGAGAAGGTCTATAAATGTGATGATTGTGGTAAGGATTTTAGCACTACAACAAAACTTAATAGACATAAGAAAATCCACACAGTGGAGAAGCCCTATAAATGTTATGAGTGTGGCAAAGCCTTCAATTGGAGCTCCCATCTTCAAATTCATATGAGAGTTCACACAGGCGAGAAACCCTATGTCTGTAGTGAGTGTGGAAGGGGCTTCAGTAACAGTTCAAACCTTTGCATGCACCAGAGAGTCCACACCGGAGAGAAGCCCTTCAAATGTGAAGAGTGTGGGAAGGCCTTCAGGCACACCTCCAGCCTCTGCATGCATCAAAGAGTCCACACCGGGGAGAAACCTTATAAATGTTATGAGTGTGGGAAGGCCTTCAGTCAGAGCTCCAGCCTCTGCATCCACCAGAGAGTCCACACTGGAGAGAAACCTTATAGGTGTTGTGGGTGTGGGAAGGCCTTCAGTCAGAGCTCCAGCCTCTGCATCCACCAGAGGGTACACACAGGAGAGAAACCTTTTAAATGTGATGAGTGTGGGAAGGCCTTTAGTCAGAGTACCAGCCTCTGCATCCATCAGAGAGTCCACACCAAGGAGAGAAACCATCTCAAAATATCAGTTATATAAAATGTTTTGCTAAGAATTAAAAAATCTTAAAACCCGTAAGTGCCACTAGGAAGGAAACCCTGTATGTACCTACATTGACCCAAGGAGTATTCACGGCAGTCCCTAGCAGAATGTTCTTTTTGAGGAGGCATAGGTGAGGTTGAGGTTTTGATCCATTGATTCATACCCAGGTGTGTCCCACAGCTTGACTTTGAATATGGAGTCCTTCTGAGCATGTGCCCAAGACGGGTGGGCTGTCTTGCATCCCAGGTGTGGATTTTGTATCCTGGAACTCCAYGATGCCTCAGTAATTGAAGTACTGCTCAGAACTCCTGAGCATTGCCAGCCTCCAAGTCACCTTGTGTCTGTGCTGTGCTTAGAAGTGATCCCAGATGCTCCCTCTCAGGAGCTCTTTCTCCTTCCTTCCTCTCAAGCCTTCTRGTCAATGCATTTGAAAATGGACAGCTCCCGCTAAGATCGTGTTCTGGCATTTCTGAGCTTGCCACATTACAGCCCTACGTAGCTTTCCATATATCCCGTGACTTCTGAACCCACTTTACCTCACATCCTCACAGTACCCATAATTCTCCACCCCTTCCTAGGTGGCATTAAATTTCATTTTAGATTTTAGGCAACTCATAATATCCATTCACTCGGCCTCAGAGAAATCACTGGCAGACACACATGCCCTGGGACTTTTCTTTAGTTGTGGATTCTGCTAATCACTGTGTCTATATGTTAGACTTATTTTCTTAGTAGCTGCATCACATTTTTTAACTTGAATTTTTTGTTTTAATAGCTGAATGTAAATAGCAGGGACAAAGAAGCAAAGCAAGGTATGAGCTTGTCTTCCCTCCAGAGGCACCCGCAGGCTCCCTTATGCCCTGTGGGGAGCCCCTCTAAGCCAGGGAGCCCTTAGGAAAGGGATGGTGGGAGAGGTCACTAAGGATGTGTGTCTGTTTCTGTCACCTTGGGCAGTACTGTGTAGGAGCCATTGGGGGTCAGGTGCCAGCTCTTGCTAGGCATGGATGTCTGTTGTCAGTCCATCATCTTTTCATTCTTCGTGCATTGGACAAGAGTTTATTGAACACCTGCTGGGTGCTGGGAATGCCACTGAATCCGACAGACGAGGTCCCTGCTCTCGTGGAGTGTACTTCTGGTGGAGACAGATGATAAGCAAGTGAACATTAAAAATGTAGTCTGAGGTAGTGGTTAAGTGCTATGAAGAAAATAAACTAGGGTGGTGATGTAGAGTGGTGGGGGGTGGGGGGCATTAGCTAGGGTCGGGGAGCCTTGCTGAGGGCAGCTGGGACTGGGCAGGCACAGAGGTGGCGCACCAGTGGGACCACGCAGGTGCCGCTGGGTGCTGCCTGCCCTGGCGGACAAAAGGCAGGCGCCGGAGGTGGCGGCGGCGGCGGGAGGGGGAGGGATGCTGAGCTCTCAGTGTCCAGACTTTGTAGGCCTGTTACGTTTTGTTTGTTTTGCTAGATATTAAAAACTCATGTGGAGGAACTCAAGGAATGTTTAGAAGACCAAAAGTCCCCAATGACAAGAACAAAAAGCAACCTATGTTTTCCTCATTTCTCATTCCTGTCATTGATTTCCCACAGGCAGGCCTTTTGCTCAGGAAGTCTTGGGGAAACTAGGATCTTTGAAGCTCTGAAATGGGTTGGTGGTGTCTGTCAACTGTCTAAGTTGGAAAATGAATTCAAGATAGTCGTGGAAATACTGTATCTGAGCTTGGTTTTCCCTCCATGTTTGAATTCGTTTCTTCTGTTTGGCTGGAAGGGGTTTTTGCATAACTAAAACCTCCATGCATAAAGGAGATTTAAAAGGAGCAAAGGATTCAGTGGATGGGCCATGAGGTGAGAGGTGGGACTTGGAGATAAATTTAGTCCGGATGCCTCTGTTGAGAGTTTGCTGAGTTGCTTCACAGGTATTTCCTCCTTTTTGCGAAGAAGAGGGCTGGTTTAGTTATCTGCTGAAGCCCCTTCCAGGCCTGAAGTCACAACTGCGGTTTACTGTAGTGTCTTATCACTCTTCATGTCACAGTAGCGTGGAGCATTAGAGAAAAGCCTAGACTTTTAGTTGATAGAGAGCCAGTTGAAATATCATTGATAGAATTTTAGTTTTTAGGAAAAATTGGTTTGATTTCTAGTTTTATTACTATTAGGTATGTGAGCTTGGGCAGATCGCTTGATCTTTGAGTCTAGTTTTCTCACAAAATGAGGATATTAGGCTAAATGATTTCCGAGTTTCCAGCTAGTCCTAGAGTTCTATATTTCTACATAGTTGAATTATTTTATCATGCTGTTGCTGGGGAATATGACTAACACTTTTGAAGCTACTAATTTTATGTCAAGCTTTAAAGTCCATAATTGTTATCTTCAGAAAATATTATTTGACCTACAGTATGTCCAAATCAATTTAATAAAATCACTTTATAACAGGGTTCTGTGCTTGACGTGTAGTTGTGTGGACTCAGTGGTCATCATGGGGCTGGAGTGTGGGTTGGTGTGTACATTGTACCCTGGATTTCACATCTAATTCAACCAGCTTAAAGTGTTGGCAACAGACTCGTTCTCTGATCTGTCCTGTCATTTCTGTTACCTGCCTGGTGCAGGTGGGCCTGCCTTGCCCCCTGAGCCCTGCTTTTATCCCTTCTGACTGTGACTCGCTCGTGGTGAAGTGTGGACCATGCTTGCTGACCATAGTCTGGAAGCCACCAGCTGCCAGAATGAAGTCTGTGTTCTGGTCTCAGCTGACATGGTCATAGCCTTCTCAGGGGAGCAGGAAGGAGAGGTTCTGCTAAGATTTGGGTAGGAGAGGGATCCTGAGTGACTCTGCAGCTTCTCACATCTAAGGTGGGCAGAGATCCATCGAAGAGCCTCACCTTCAGATSGTCTGCCTTCAGGGAATAGGCAGCAGAAATTGCCGGAGTTCCTTTGTGTCACATCAGCATGGCCATGAAGCTAAGGGACCTTCTAACTCTTGGTGCTCTTCTAAAGAATTTTAAGCTGTATTAAGCATTGTGCAATTTGCTGTTACTCTCAGAGATTTGGGCAAAGAAGATATGAATAGAGAGCATGTATCCGAAGCAGGGGAAAAAACGCCCAGTCATAAAATCAGCCCAGGAAGAGATGCCAGGCCTGGTACCACTGCGGGGRCCAGAGCCAGATGTGATGAGCAGGTGGCCCAGCACCCACCCTGACCTCACGCAGGTCCCAGCTTTCTGGAGCCTCATGTGTCACACCTATAAAATGGCTTTGAAAAGCCTCAGCTCAGGATAATAGACCCAAATAAGCATATATAAAATCCCTATTATTATTATTATTATTCCTGTTGCCTTTTTGAGGAGATGAGACGTTTATTGGAGTTTTCTTGTGCTGAGTGCTGCAGTGGGTGAGGGCATTGAAATTTGGGGGGAGGGTTGGAGTGTTGCAGTTGACRGAGGTGGGGGAGGCCCTATTGGGCACCTGTGATTGGAA